AATGTAGCCAAACAAATACATGTATATTTAAAAATTTTTAACTGGATGAAATAAATTATTTCTGTCAGCTTCCCTGAGAAGGTAGGAAACTGCTTAAACCAAATTCCACTCACCTCAGAATGGACATGTGCCTCACATACTCATTGTGAGTTTCATAGTGAGTTCTTAGGTAAAATCTAAGACTATCCGGTTTGCCAACAGTGTGGTTTAACTGAACTGATTTTGCTGTCTGGCAGTGACAGTAAACAGGGGCTGTACAATGCATCAGGAAGTTTCATGACTGCCAGACCAGTCAGAATGACTCCTGACCAGGAGTTTTTCCCCAGTTAGCTCCCCAGGCTGCAGGCAAGCAGGTACAGGATGCCTGCTCACCAAGCACATGATATCTGAGAGATGTGCCCCATCTTAGCCAGCGTAGGCATGTCTAGGGCTTGACACATTGCATGGCAGCCTGACTGTCATCTCCTGTGCCAGTTCCATTTATTATTTCTGCCAGGTGGGGAGAAATAGGTCTGCTCAGTATGGGCCAACATCCTGCATGCTTTTCTCAGGGACATACATTCCCATGACCGTTGTTTTGAACATCAGAAGATAAATGAGACCCTGGCACATTCCTATGAGGCACTATCTTATAAAAAGACACCTTACGATAACGGTACTGAATTATATCGTTTTAAGTACAAGGGCTCTGTGTCCTGCTGTGTTTCTTTTTTATGTTGACGTTTTACCTCCTCCCTCTCTTGGAAGACATGGTTAATTCTCAGTAGTCTTAAAAATGGAACACTGAGTTCAGAATAATCCAGTTTTTAATTTATCAAGAAGCAGCAGGAGGAGATGAGGGACCAAGAAGAAAACTGTGGCAACTGGAGAAACATGTATCCATCTCAACGTTAGGCCAAGTTCAAGCTCACAGAACTTGAACCCTCTCTTCCAGAAAGATCTCTCTCCCTTTAGCCCATAAAGAGAGGCAGAACAGCAGTCACTCCTGTGGTACTGGATGACCTGCATAAAACCTAAGGATAGTGGCATTTTGGGACAATGATGTAGCTCCTCACTTTTTTCCTAAATCATACCAGAAAGGGTAATAGACAAAGATGATCACCTTTGGAAGGGCACATTTGTTAGGCGCTAGGCCTTCCCCTGTCTCTTTCTGCTGTTTTCAGCTAACTGCAGGTGCAGCTCCTACCTGGGATGGGACCATCACAATATAAAAGGTCCATGTAGCTCCTATCAGTTATGAGTAAGTAGAGAACATGTTTGATTAGTCTCTGGGAAAGAGGTACATTGTTTAGAGTTAGGGCTTTGAAATCACCAAGTGTGTTGTTCATGCATACAGGGTATTTCTGCTTCACTCGTTGTGACAGCTGACTGAGATGTCAATTTCTATGTGGCATCTCAATGGACTAAGAATTCATAATGTCTGAAAGCAGTACCTCTCACCCTGGAACATTCTAGAGTCACCAATGTCTGGTCTTTGATCCACAACCAATGAAGTCAGACTCTGGCAGTGGCACTCAAGTATTCGCATTTTTCTGCAAGGCCTCAGGTGGTTCTCGTGGGTAGCCAGAATTAAGAACTGTTCTCTTAGACTGAAAATTCACATTAGCCTGGAGAGCAGGAAAACGGGAGCAAAGTTCCCGTGGTTTTCATCATCATCATCTCAGGCTTTCACCTCCCTCGACATTCTTTTTGCCGTATTTAAATCTACACACCCCATGGTGTCTGCATCGAATTTCTACTTCTGAGAATAATCCATCAATTTTGCAAATGAAATGCTCACACAGGCTATGCCTGACAGTCTAGGATTTTCCCATTGATTTAATTATCTAATTACCAGAGCTGGCTGCCAAGCACAAAAAAGATTTCATTCGTTTTCACTATTTTATAACACAGTTCAAAGAACATTTGAATTTCTAATTCAATTTTTGTTCTTTTGAGACTGTTCTGGAGTTTCGGAGCTCTCTAATGATAGCTCCATTATTGGGCTTATAATCACTGTGGGCCTGCACTTCCCTTTTGGTGTATAATACATGTGCCGAGGGGGAACTGGTGCTGAGATGGCTGAGTTATTCTAAACTGGTTTGGTTTCAAACAGACTCCCCTGAAAGCTGATGGAGGCACAGAGGATGCCAAGACTGAGGCAGAAACAAGAGCATCCAGGTTAGGGATCAAAATGCTTCTCCTTCTCTGCTTCTCCTTCTCTGAGTGTCTGCACTTTAGAACCGCACCAGCGTCTCAGCTCAGGAGTACACCTGGGGACTTCCCTGGTGGTCCAGTGGTTAAGAATCTGCCTTGCAATGCAGTGGATGCTGGCTCGATCCCTGGTCAGGGAACTAAGATCCCACATGCTGTGGGGCAACTAAGCCCACTTGCTGCAAGAACTGAGCCTGCGTCACTAGAGAGTCCGTGCACTGTGGCAAAGGATCCCACGTGATGCAACTAGGACCCAGTGTGGCCAAATAAAGACCTGTTTTTTTTAAACAAAGAAAAGAGCACACCTGCTCCATGTTCTTTACCCTGAAAGCCAGGAAAGCTGAGCAGTTCGGGGGCAATTAAGGAACCTGTGTAATTAAGATAGCGACCCGGGACTGACTGTAGCACCTCTTTGTTTGAGAAGCTATGATTCTGCAGCTGAGCCTCCTCAGTTCAAGGGTTACAAGGAGTGGCAAGTTGTGGGAGGTCCCTCCCCGGCCCCCCACCCCGGCCAGAGGACCAAACACGGCCAGCCACTAGCAGGGTGATGCCGCCACCCCATACATCACAGCCCCCGGGTATCAGATTTGCCACTTCACGGCAATTCCACCTCTGACCCCACACCAACAAATGCTCACTTTTGAAAGCAGTAGGAACCACCTTGCAAATGACACATTTAGGACTTTTTTTCCTTGTGAGGGTCCAAATGTTTAGTCACCAAGTTGTGTTTGACTCTTGAGTCTAGGAGCGCACAATTTCCAATTTGATCAGCAGGTGGCAGTAGAAGGCAGATGCAGTGCAAGACGGAGGCTGAACCTCCTTACCACCAGCAAAGAACCCAGGAGCTCACACGTGTGCTGGCCTGCACGCGTGCCCTCTGGCCTGCAGATTATGAAATGAATTTTAAATTACCTTCCAACATTTTTAGAATGAATGTAGATATTTTATATGAAACATCTATGTGTCCTGTGACTTCCCTTTGGTCCAGTGGCTAAGACTCCAAGCTCCCAATGTAGGGGGTCTGGGTCTGATCCCTGATTGGGGAACTAGATCCCATGTGCCAAACTAAGACATGCTCGCTACGTGCTCAGTCACTTGAGTCGTGTCTGACTCTGAGACCCCACAGACTATAGCCGGCCAGGCTCCTCTGTCCATGGGATTCTCCAGGCAAGAATACTGGAGTAGGTTGTCAATTTCCTTCCCCAAGGGATCTTCCTGATGGAGGGACAGAACCCGCATCTCTTAGGTCTCCTGCACTGGCAGGTGGGTTCTTTACCTGGGAAGCCCAAGACTTGATGCGGCCAAATAAATACTAACAAAACAAAAACCTCTATTTCCAGATTCTCTTGAGATACTGAAACATCTAGAAATGCTGGACTCATTTTACCAGGTTAAGGGCTGCCTGGAGTGGAGCGGCGACTGTCCGTCAGAGGTGCCAACTCGCCACTGTCCTGCGTCCACTCGCTTGCTGAGTTACTGCCTGTTCACTGCGGGCAGTGAATTGCGCCACCCTGTACACCTCATTTCACTGGAAGTGTCTTAAAAACAGCAACACAAGGAAAAGTGAATGCAAAGGATGGGGAACTTCCTAGCGACATGATTCAGGGAGGACTGAAGTGAACTTGCGTGGGAGGTCCGAGGGGTTTGGGATGCACCAAACTAGCCTTTGGAGACCCGAGCTGAGTTGTGTGGTCTGTGATAGGGCTCAGGGCAGGCTCTCAAGTTAACCTTCCCTTCTGTTAGTTCTCCCGGAGGTAGAGGGCAGGGGAAATCACTGTCTTAGCTTTACTCAGGCAGTGGGAAGTGGAGGGCTCGCGCATGGCAAGCTGAAGTGAGAGCAGCTGGGGTTTGGAGTGCCCCTTCCTTAGGGGACTCGCGCACAGAAGCCTGCCTGCCCCCGAGGATGCCACACCTGTGGCTACTCCCCGCTCCTAACGTTTGGTGGACCACGAGCCTCCTCGAAGTTGAGGAGGATGCCTGGGCATCGTCTAAGCCAGCACTACATCCTCAGTCACCAGCCTGCCACCAGGGGCAGGGAGGGGTGAGGCTGATCCTCAGAGCAGACACATGATCTCATAAAGATACACCTTCCCAGTTCCTTATCACCCTGGGCCAGCCACGCCAAGTCAGATTTATGGGATTTAGTCACCATGCCTGGTGACAGGAAGGGTCATTTTCCCCTGCCCTTTGATTCCCGTGTAGTTCATATATTCCTAAGAATGGGAAACGGTAAGGGAAGTATTACGGAAGGCACACTATGCGAATAACAATGCAGATGTTTCTCTCAAATCATCGGCGATGGCTCCTTTTCCTTATGAATTCACCCTCTTGCTTGAACTCCTAGTTCTAAATACAAAGTTTTTTTTTTTTTTCCTTGTAAAACCCCTGAGCTGCCGGCAGCGCCTCTGCACGTGCTCATGGGGGAAGCGCAAAAGCCAAACCCTAGGAAGCAGGAAGTCCTAACTGGCTGTGGGAACGCTCCACCACGGGGCTCCTCTGCTTCCAGCTCTCCTCAAAAAAAAAAGGAAAACAACAACAACAGATGCTTAATGGTTTTTTCATGTGTAAGAAGCACGCGCAGCTTATAGAAGTGGCTACAGACTGTCGTTGCGGCGGAAGGCTCTAGACCAAGATGACGTGAGAGAGAGAGCAGCCCAGGGTGTCACGGCGCCTGCATCCTGGCCCTCAGTTATCCCTACGGAAGGATGCCGCAGAGAACGCCACCAGCAAGGTGCTGTGCGGGAGGCGGCGGACGGGAGGAGGAACCTGAGTCAGGGGAGACCGTCCACGGGGAACGCGGGCTGTACCTGGAGCTGTCGCATCTGCCGCAGCTGCAGCCTGAGCTCGGCCACGCTCCGCCTCATGTCGAGCAGGCTCGCGTGGACCGCGGAGGCGCTGGCAGGCGCCAGCTGGCCGGGCGGCCCCGAGGACTCCACTGAGGCGCCGAGAGTCTTCCCACCGGAAACCTGGGGAGTTCCTAGGAAAAAAGAGCAGTGAAATCCCTGAGATGCCAGGAAGGGGCAGTCAAAGCTGCAAGTCCCATCCCAACACAGAAAATCCCCATTCCCTCATTGTGGGGGGAAAAAAAAAATCTTTAAAATGATATTGGCTCTCTAAAGGACAAAAAGGGGGGAATTGGGTTTAAATAAATTGGGGAACGTGCATCCAATGTTATAGTACGCAGCCTGGAGAAGTCATGTTCTAGAAGTTTGGTGCTGTAAGAAGGCAGATCGCAGGGCGGTAGGTGGAGCATGATGCCATGTTAAAGAAGTTAGCTGCCTGTCTGTGTATCTTATTTATTGGCCTCACCATACGGCATGTGGGATCTTAGTTCCCTGACCACGTATGGAACCAATGCCCCCTGCAATGGATGCACAGGGTCCTAACCACTGGACCATCAGGGAAGTTCCTACAATTTTATAATAGAAAAAAATATTAATAATTTAGACCTCTGGGTCCTAACAGGGTACTCATGTGACTGTTCCTATAGGCAGATATATCCCAAGAAGACCCACTTAGTTCTGGTCAGAGATTTGGCAGGGGGAAAGCTAATAAGGACTGGGTACTCTCCTGAGTCGCTTGGAATTTCCTGACTAAAAGCAGCAGGCCCTCTGCACACATCTCCTTTAGTGAGGAAATCAGGCCTGATGCTAATATTCTTTGGGAGAAGAACCAAAAAAAGGCAGCAGACAGAAACTCTTCCTCAACAGTTTTGCCACTGCCATAATTTTTTGCTCCCTGAGTCCAACTTAAATCATCCTCTTGTAGTTCCTAAGTCCATTTAGGAAGGGCCTGATTTGAGCAAGCTTGCTTCAAAAATGCCCCCAAGGGACTTCCTTGGTGGTCCTGTAGTTGAGATTCCGAGCTTGCAATGCAGGGTGCGAGAGTTCAATCCCTGGTCAGGGAATTAAGATCCCACATGCTGAGTGGCACGGCCAAAAAAAACCAAAGTGACCCCTAACGGATCCCCAGTAACACAGGATCAGCAAGGTGTGGGAATCAAAAGGAGATGCTATGCTACTTCCTGTTTACGACAATGCAGTTCAGTGGAACAGGCTTCACGTAGAGAGTAGACAAGGAATCCACAACACACAGACACACACAGACACAGACACACAGACACAGACACACACACCCACCCACCCCTGGAGGCGCTGTTCAGCCCTCCTTCCTGGAAGGGAGGAAGCAGAAGGTGTGCCCAGCCCAGGCTGCCTTCGCTCGGCAGGGCCCGCTTGCTGCTCCGTGTGTGTGCCTGGAGTGCTTAGAGCACAGTGGCCCCTCCGTCCATCTCCTCTCCTTCCCCAGGACACACTGCCCTGTGAGCCTCCATGGGCTGCCATGGGCCATGGGCGGTGTGCCAGTGGGCATGGAGGTGCCTCCACAGTGGCCTCCTGCTTGCTTGGCCTCAGCAACGCCGGTTCAGAGCTGACGGAGCACCACATCCCTCATCCCTGTGTGCCCGTCCTAACAGAACCCATCTCCCAGCTCTCACAGTCCCCTTGAGAAGTCGGGGGAACAGATGGGAAGCCTTTTAAGGATTAACAAAGGAGCCCAGCAGACAGACAGCGAGCTTTCTGTTACCTTTATGAGCCAAACCGGTCCGTCATGTCATCACCAACAAAAGTTGGGCTAACTTTTGACCACTTCCCCTCCAGATGGAAAATCCCCCTTGAAAGAGCAAGACAGGGAACTTCCCTGGGGGTGCAGTGGTTAAGACTCTGCTCCCAATGTATGGGGCCCGGGTTTGACTGCTGGTCAGGGAACTAGAGCCCATGTGCCACGCAACTAAGAGTTCGTGTGTCACAATGAAGATCAAAGATCCCGTGTGCCGCAACTAAGACCTGGAGCAGCCAAATTAACAAACAGTTTTTACAAGAGTAAGATTTGCTATCTCTGCAGTTACTCCAGAGAGTGTTCTCTAACTGTGAAGGTCCTCAGTGAAAGGACATCCAGTAACATTTTCAACAATAACAGCTTGACCAAGTTAACACAGCGCCTCTAAGACCAAGTATTCTGAAGGGAAGACAATGAATTGGAAGTCTTTAAATCAGTCAAGGGATCATCACTCCATATCCTCAAGCATAGATGCATGTGTACATGCACACACACCACACAACGTCATTTGTACAAATAACGACAACGACATCCTCAAGGTATTTCTCCAACAGAAATGACACTGCACTATAGCCAGTTACTCCTGTTCCACAATGAGAACTGTCCTGAGAGTTCCTCAGCCAAACGAAGACACATATTCCTTCCACGATCATGCTTCTCCTCTTCTATTCTGAGGGCACCAGCGCACCTCACTGCCATCCTCCACAGAGGAGAAGCCCAAGTTTACCTACCATCTGTGAGAGCTGAACCCCAATAACTGGCTTTAAAAATACCTTTCAGAATCAAGCTTCTTACGCTCATTTATAAGACTTCCTCATCTGTAACCTCTCAATCCACTAAACCTGGTTTCCGTAACCATCATTCACTGCATTGGCCCTTTATAAAATGGCCAATGGGACTTCCCTGATGGTTCAGTGGTTAAGAACCCACCTGCCGGGGTTCAATCCCTGCTCTGGAGAGGCCCCTCACGCTGCAGGGTGACACAGGCCATGCGCCACAATTAACTGGGCTCGCGTGCCCTCGAGCCTATGCTCCACAACAAGAAGCCACCGCAGTGAGAAGCCCTCACACCGCAACGAAGAGCCGCTCCCGTTCACTGCAACCACAGAAAGCCCGCGTGCAGCAACGAAAACCCAGCACAGCCAAATATAAACAAATAATAAAATAAATACGGTGGCCAGTAGTCAGCTGTCAACCCAACAGACTCTGGGTTGCCACGACAGCACCCTGATGTGACGCTGGGCTTTGTCAGTCACTTCTTTTCTTTCTCAGGAACTTTGAAACTTTCCTTGCCCTTGTCTTCTTCCCTGCCCTGTCTTGGTCAGCCTCTTTCTTAATTTCTTCCTCGGCCAGCCTTCTGCATCCTGGCCTGCTTCTCCTCTCACTGGACATGGTTTCAAGGAGGTCACTTCCATGACCACCACCTGCCAAGGTCGCCCACACCTCTGCCTCCAGCACACGATTCAGCCACATCCCCAGACCTTACCGTCTCTTCAGGACCTTTCCACAAGCAGGTCAAATTCATTATTTCTACCTGTTTCACCCCCCAAACCTCTTTCTGTCTCTGTTGAACTAATTTTAGCCAGTGGCCCTATTATCCACTCAAGTATTTATTTATTTATTCCCCCCCCCCATTTATTTTTATTAGTTGGAGGCTAATTACTTTACAACATTGCAGTGGTTTTTGTCATACATTGAAATGAATTAGCCATGGATTTACATGTATTCCCCATCCCAGTCCCCCCTCCCACCTCCCTCTCCACCCCATCCCTCTAGGTCTTCCCAGTGCACCAGACCCGAGCACTTGTCTCATGCATCCAACCTGGGCTGGTGATCTGTTTCACCCTAGATATACATGTTTCGATGCTGTTCTGTCCACTCAGGTATTTAAACCAGAAACCCAGAAATCACTCTCAGTATCCATGTCCTAGCTGTCTCTCTTCCTGTCAGTTTCCTCATCTGTAAAATGGGTGTGGGTGTGATTGTGCAGGATGATGGAATTCACCCACAGGGACTGCTCCACCCAGTTTCTGGCACAAGGGGCCCCACTGCGGTTGCTGGGCTGTAATGATTATTTCTCTGGGCAGAGCGAGCGGGAAGAGCCCCTGCTGGATCCCCCTCCCCACGTGGAGCGGCAGCAGTGACAGGCTGAGAGCTACAAGCAACTGCCCTGAAGTCTGCGGCTGGAGCTGGGTCTGGTGGGCGGGGACCCCGAGTGGTGAATGAGTTCCCACTTCATACTAGAGCCTCAGGACCTGGGATCCACTCTCTGAACTCACATGCGGGATGGGCACTTTCTAGTCTGCGGAGGGTGGTCGGCCTGCGGGTCACTCTTGGCCGCTCCCTTCTGTACACCCAGCCCTGTCCAGGCAATGGCCCTTCTCCCTCTTCCCAAGTCTGCTCTTGGGTAACTTACTTCAGCTGAGGTGTATCTTAATATGGACTGTTGTAACAGGAAGAACATGGGTTTAGGGGTTGGCCAGACTGGCTGAGAATCTTTTTTTTTTTCTTCCTCGTCCACGGATTGAACCCCGGCCCCCGGCATTGGGATCTTGGAGTCTTAGCCACTGGACCACCAGGGAAGTTCCCTGGAGGTGTATCTTAACGTGCGCTGTTGTAACAGGAAGAACATGGGTTTAGGGTTGGCCAGGCTGGCGGAGAACTTACTAGCTCTGTGGCTAACATCTTCCTTACAGGGTTATGTGTTTAAACGATGTAATACACTATAAAACACAGGTTATGACTTTGAAAAGGGAGGTTCCTTCTGTTCTTTTATACCACGGTAAACCAGATATTCCTAAAGTAACAGGAAGTCTGGGCTTCCCTTTTTCAGGTACCCTTGACCCAACGAGCTCCTTGACTCACTACAGAATTCCGTGTACTTGTCTACAGAACAGGGATAACACTTCCTGTCTTGTCACTGACCTCCTAGGATTCCAGAAGAATTAATTTATTTTGCACACCATACAAGGCTGCTATGGCAACGAAAGCCCTGTGGACCACAGGTAGCCCTGACACATCACAATGAGAAAGGCCAAACTCTGCAGAGACGCAGAGGAGCAAACCCATGTGCGTGTTGCCGATGGCATCGCAAATTGGCTCAGCCTTTCAGAGGAGAAAGCTGGCGGTGTGTCGCCAGTGCTCCTCAGCTGCTCGTCCCTTCGGACTCATTGATTCCACTCTGGGAAATGCATTCTGAAGAAATAACACCTGCTCCTTCCCTCATGCTTCAAAAAAGACACTGGCAAAAACGTTCAAAACAAAGAAACGAAACCACCTTTCTTTAAAGGGACTGGGGCACCTTAACACAAAAGGATGAGACATCAGGACAGGCTGGTGGAGCATGTTGACATGTGTCACGTGTGTATGAATGTGTGTTCAGTTTCCTCATCTGGAACATGGGAATCATGAGTGTACCTATCCCATGAGGCTGCGTCAGGGGTTAACAAGTTCAGGCATAGAAATGCGCTCAGAATAAATATTGCCTGGTACATAGGAAACACTCACTAAATGCTTCCTATTATTATTTCATCCCAGTGGCGTGGTGGTAAAAGAATCTGTCTGCCAATGCAAGAGATGCAGGTTCAATCCCAGGGTTGGGAAGATCCCCTGGTGGAGGAACTGGCAACCCATTCATTCCTGCCTGTAAAGTTCCATGGACAGAGGAGCCTGGCGGGCCACAGTCCATGGAGTCATAAAGTCAGACACTACTGAGTGGCTAACACACACACACACACCCCCACCCACCCCAACTGAGCAACTAACACACACACACACACACCCCAAAAGGGAAATTCCATAAAGAAGGATACAAAACAGCATGTACACATTGATTACAGTGGTAGTGGATATTAATCATTTCTAGAATAGAAGCCAGAGGAACAGAATGTTTTAGTGTCTGTTTAATGGTAGCACCCCGACTTTATTAGATGTAGCACCCCGACTTTATTAGATGTAACAGACATACAATACTGTGTAACTTTAAGGTGTACAATGTGTCAGTTTGACACAGTTACTGTACGGCCATAGGATTATTACCTATCAAAAACGTTATGTTCATCCTGTCACATAATTACCATGTCTTTCTTGGGGTGAGAACATTTAAGATCTGTTCTCTTGGCAACTTTCAAGTGCCCAGTTCAATACTGTTATCTACAATCACCACACAGTATGTGAGAACTTATTCATCCTCTAACTGGAAGCTGGTCCTTTTTGACCAAAATCTTCTATGTCCCCCACCCACAGGCAACCACCCATCTGCTCTCCGTTTCTGCAAGGTCAGTTGGTGCCTTTTCCCCCCCATAGGTTTATAATCAGAAAATAAGTGAATAAATATCTCCCAAGCAAACTGGCAGGTGCTCTGAAGACAAGCTCAGCAGTTGCCACAAAACAATTCTCTGGCTGCAGTCAAGGTCGTTGGTTGATTTCTAAGCAAAGCAATCAATCTCTGTGAGGACTGGGAATGCTGGAAGAAGAACAGCCCTGCTGGCTTTAGAGCTGAAGAGCCTGAACTGGGCTAGGGCAGAATCAGGACCAGCAGACATCTCAACATAAGGCCCCAGTTCTGTCCATTCTGCCATGTGGCACTAACACCCTCTGTGGCTTTCCCCCTGTTAGCGGTTTCAGCCAACGTGCCATGTGCTTCTTGAGTAATTCAACAGCCAGATGTGTCCCTGGTAATGATGTCTATTTCTAACCCAAGGGGAAGGAAGACACCATGTTCTTGAGAGAGGCCCTCCTTGAGCCTGCAGGATAAGATGGATATCAAGTATACATGGACAGGGACTTCCCTGGCGGTCCAGTGGCTGAGACTCCATGCTGCCAATGCAGGGGACCCAGGTTCAATCCCTGGTCAGAGGACTAGATCCCACATGCCGCAACTAAGAGTTCCTACATACTGCAACTAAAAAGATCCCACGTGCCACAGCTAAGACCTGGTGCAGCCAAACTAATGAGTAAGTAAATATTGGGGAAAAAAAAAAAGAGATCAAATGAGGCCAGACCACCAGAAATGCACATTTTCTATTATAAAAATGCATATGTATACCCGGATACTAGTGAAGTCAACAGGGAATATAGCTGGGGCCTTTTTGGGGGGAGTGAAAGTGTTAGTCACTCAGTTGTATCCAACTCTGTGTGACCCCATAGACTGTCCATGGGATTCTTCAGGCAAGAATACTGGAGTGGGTAACCATTCCCTTCTCCAGGGGATCTTCCCGACCCAGGGATTGAACCTGGGTCTCCTGCATTGTAGGCAGATTCTTCACGGTCTGAGATAGCAGAGTCAGGCCTTTGGGGGAGTGCTGGCGTTTAAAAGCAGACCTTGTTCCAAGTACACCTTCTCCTGCCTTGACCCCTGCCGGCTCCCTATCAGCTCATTCTGTTTTCTTATCCGGTCACATCCTGCTGCTGCGCTGAGGCCCTTCCCCAGTGCAGAACCTTCTACTGCCTTCCCTGTGCATTTAGAATAATATCAAAATTGCTCACCATGGCACCTGTACATGCTTTGCTCTCTGCCTGGGTGTCTCTTCCTTTCCCTCCTCATCCTTTTGGCTTCAGTTTGTGTTACTTCCCCCAGAGAAATGGCCCTGGTCAAGGCTAGCCCTGATGGTTAAACATTCATCCTGCTTTTTAAAATTTACTTTGTTGAATATCCAGTAGATGACCCTACATAATTATATCAAGCCAATTATGAAGCCAATGATTTTCTCTTCTTGATTTAAAAAAAAAACAAGTTACTTTTTTTTAAGGGTCTGAATTTTATGTATCAGCTTTCCATTATTTTTTGTTGGGAAACTCATGATGCCAAGTACAATCCAGCTGCCCTGTCCTCAGGGATATGAACCAAGGATGAAAGCGACAGCAGATGGTATGTCATCCCACAGGTTCTGGACCATTGTGTTTTTATTATTGCTTGTCTGTATATCCTGTACTTTTTCTTAATGTTTAGACACTGGTTTGATTCTTGGGCTTCCCTGGGGACTCAGCAGGAAAAGAATCCGCCTGCAATGCAGGAGACCTGGGTTCGATCCCTGGGTTGGGAAGATCTGCTGGAGAAGGGATAGGCTACCCACTCCAGTATTCTGGCCTGGAGAACTCCATGGACTGCATAGACCATGGGGTGGCAAAGAGTTAGACACAACTGAGCGACTTTCACTTTCACTTTTCATCATACAATGATCTGTCCCAGATCCATTTTCTGCACTGGATTAGTGGGTAGGCAGCCCTGTCCTAGGTTGCCCACTGTCCTTACCCAGTCCCAGGCACATAAGTATTTGTAGAGTATAGAACCTCATCAATGAATAAATGAATGAGGAAGTGAATAACTGAAGATGGAAGGGAGAGGACGAAATGGCTTAGTCCCAAACCCCACCTCGAATTAATTACACAGGTGACGTAGGGAGAGGTTAATAGGTCTAGAAGCAAACCACCCCATCCAAGACAGCTCCCAGACCTCCTGTGGGTCTGAAGAACACTTACCTGCACCATCTGTTTGGTTCTTACTGGCTGTGGTTTTCATCATTTTCTCGCTGAAGGAAAGAAAAAGAGAGTCAGCTCTGTAGTTTCCAAAATGCTTTTCTTCCCTGCTTCCATTCACTATTCCAAGCAATCAGCAGCAGCTAGTGATGGTATTAAGCAATGAAGGTATTCCAGCATCGGCACCACTTTTGGCCGGAATGGAAAAGGCTTCCCAGGGGTGCAGCGGAGGCGCACTCATGACTTTCAGCTGATGGAGGGTGTGGAGATGTGCAGAGGGCGGTGGCAGGCACTGCGCAGTGGTCCACAAAGCCACATGCACTGGGAAGCCCATTTACCCTTCTTGGACCAAAGTGTTACCTTCGACCAAGAATTACCGGAAACAGACAGACAAACAAACAAACCATGATTCATAGAGACGTGGATATTTTCAGCCTTGAAATGATTACAAGAAAACGATTGGAATGAATGAATGATCTTAATCATTAAAGAGAAACAGATTGAATTAATTTTGAATCAGGTTGCTTTCTTCTTTTTACCTAGAGGCATCTTTGCTATTACTTGTAAGGGGCCCTTTAAAAAGCGCAGATTGAACAAGGCCAGTTAAACTGGCAATCTGTTTCTCCATGGCTTGCATTCTCTCTCTGTAAAACAAGAGAATTGTTTGTTAAAGCTCTGTTGACTTTCGGACTGGTTTGTCGAGGTCAGTGATCATCTGAGGGTTATAAAGGTTCCACCTCCACCGAGCAGGCCCCCAAAGTTCAGCCCCACCTGGCTTGCAAAAACCAACAAGCCTGCAAATCCCCACTGAGTTTGAGATTTGATGGTCAGAGATGAGTACTGACCCAATGATCTTACTAAAAAGACCCTGGAGAGATCGGCAGAGGCCTCATGGAGAACAGAAAAGCTTCTCCCTTGGAAATAATTCTCTTTGTGCATCTTTGTGTTTTTGAGCCTTCCTGCCCTGCTTTTGCTATTTATTAGTCCTCTGCACCAGAGGGGTCCCAGGCCAGTCGGGGGAGGGAGTGGGCCAGGAACACACACTTTCAAGCTGTGCTCGTTCCGAGGTTGCCGATTTTGCTGTGAATGATGGAGACGCTTGTTGTGTGCCCGGCGTAGGACCTGCTGCACAGCCCAAGAGTACACAAGTAACCGTCTCTTGAGAGCACGGGAAAGTGTGATTGAAATCAATGTCTTCACACTAGAAGGCAGAGGGTCCTCAAATCGATGCCATAGGAATCAGAGGGCTTTTACGGATTCAGCAGGGAAACAATTACCCCCACCAACTTGGTCATCTCAAGACACGAATGAAAACAGTTCTCAGTTTTTAAATCATGCACAGACACCACACCTCTCTGTTCAAGGCTCTCCAAGGCTACACACGATTCATTTGGCTTCCAAAACAGGCTCACATTTCTGTATGGTCAGAGCAACAACAGTGTCATGGAACTATCACCGTTATTTCCAAAACATTACAGAGTCCCACCACAGAGCGACCTGTGCTAAGGACGGAGCCATCACACAAGGCACGGCACACAAATTCAGTTCTTCGTGCTCAGTAGTTCAAGAGAGTAAAAGACAGAAGAAGAGCTAGAACAGTGTGGCTGCCTGGACTACCATCGTACCCTCATCAGGAAGTGTCAAAGCCCAGCCTGAGACAGAAGAGCGGCCCCCACTCTTCTCTGGGGGTGGGGGGTGTCTCAGTCCCACGGGCCTCCTGGAGTGTGAGCAATGGTAAAGGTTCCTGGGTGACAAACTGCGCATTCAGACACTGGCTTTTAAACACAAGTCAACCACTTTATCTGGTACCCAACGGAAAAGGTCATGGGGGTCCGTTCTTTCACTTAAAACAACTGGTTATGTTGGACTTCACAAGAGATGCTACATCTGTACCTTGAACTTCAAGGCAAGTAAGAGGATCTTCAAGAGTAATTTTGCTCATACAGTTTTTTGGCTTTGCACTTTGCCTTTGGAATATAACCCTCAGTGATGTAGAAAACACTGAGATTCATTTCACAATTACAAGCTTCTGACTTCAGAATTCCATGCAATTTTTTCTTTAGTTTAAAATGAATGGTTGTGTCACAATATTGAGTTTCTAGGATGTAAGTCATGCAGTCTGGAGGATTAATGGTTGTCAACCCACCATGGGGTGGGGCCAGAGGGTGAGAATAGTAGTAGTAGGATCTCTCTCAGTGAGCAGAGATATGCGTCTACCTGGAGTGACTTTCCAAGTGTTTTAAACCTCTGAGCTTGTGAGCATTTTCAGTTATGTGTGTGTTCTCAGCGTCCTGTCTGTCATAAAGCTGTGCATGGGGCAAAGAGGAAAATTAGTAAGAAATCCCACTCAAGAAAGCAGGTTAGGGACTTCCCTGGTGGTCCAATAGTTAAAAATCCGCCTTGCAAATGCAAGGGATGCAGGTTCGATCGCTGGTTGGGGAACTAAGATCCCACCTGCTATGGAGCAGCTAAGCCCACGCGCCACAACTAGGGAGTCCAGGGGCTGCAACAAAAGATCCCACATGATGCAGTGGCGCTCCCGCGAGTGGCAACTATGACCCTGACACGGTCAAATAAATAGTTAATAAATAGAAAAAGAAAAAGAAAGAAAACAGGTTAATAAATACTCACTGGCGATCCCAAGTTTATCGGACCCAAGTTGCACAGCACCTTAGGACTGATGGGGTGGTAGCTGATCTCCAAGTGTGGGGCATACACACACATGCATTCCGGGTGGACATTGTTCAGAATCCCCAGTCTTCCCATGGTAATGCTGGAAGCCAAACTCATGACCCTTAGAGCAGGGGTGCTCTCAGAACTACCTTGAGAGGCACTAGTTTACCCCTCTTATTCAATCCTAGACAAACGCAAAGGGTTTCTTTTCTTTTCAAGTGGGAAAGCAGGGACTTCCATCGTGGTCCAGAGGCTAAGACTCCATGTTCCCAACACAGGGGGCCCAAGTTCAATCCCTGGTCTGGGAACTAGATCCTATATGCTAAGAGCCAGCATGGGAACTAGATCACATATGCCAGAACTCAGAGGGTCGGCATGCCGCACCTGCCATGACTAAGACCCAATGCAGCGAAGTAATTAAATATATATTTTTACAAAGTGGCAGGACATTCTTTTGGTTAGGAAGAGGCTTAATTGATTCTCTGAAGCTGGAGTGCAGGATACAAAGGCATGGTGACAAACTAACTGCCCCCAGGAGACAATAATATCAAGAGATGTGAGCAGTAGGTAAGTCCACAGCTACAGAGAATAAGCAGGAGTCTGTGGGAGAGAGAAAGGGCAGATGGATTCCAGTGCTGGCCTAGGCACAGTGCTGATTAGGGCTACATCAGTGTTCTCTCTGGTCCCTCTCTGGTCCCCAGCTATCATGACCTGGTTTAACAAATCACCAGAATCAACCCAGACTCAGGACTTTGATCTTCAGCAGATTCATCACCATGGTGAGAACTGCAGGATGGTACGGCACAGATGAGTCCTCTCAGAGAGGCACCCACAGGGCTTCCTCCCTGCCTTTGGCATCCTCCGTGGCGCAGTTGTACTCGGCCTCTCACCGTTCTTACCCCAGACAATGCTTTTAGGGTGAAGAGAAAGAAACCCCTGAACGGCACGCCACTCTCCTGACTTCTAGGACTGACGTGGACGGAGCCTGCAGACCTGCCTGGGATGAGGGTCTAGATGTTTTGGAGCGAAAACCCTGCGTTCAGTCCAGATACTCACATACTTGTTCTTCAGTTTGCATCTTTGAGGACAGGACTGGAAGCTCCTTGGGTGGCCTCTTCCAGGTTATGTCACCAGTGGGGTCACCAGGAAGGAGATAAGATCTATCAGAACATGGAGAGCTCGGAACACTTGAGCTTGACGGCCAAGGAGGGAGCGATTCTCTCCCCGTGCCCAGGAGACAGTGCAGGCCCCAGGCGCTGTGTACACGGACTGCACACGCGTGTTCCACTGTCTCGGCCAAAACCACTTTGCAAAAATACAATTCTTTTGACACATGGTAATGAGAAAACTTTTTCCCTCCTGTTTAATCATCAAAGTGTTTCTGGTTTCAGGATTCATTTGAAGGAGATTATCTGATTTATAAATTCATAAATAAGATTGTCTTTCCATTTCATGGCTGGTAATCTGGAAACAATTTTATGGTTTAACTAAATTACAGCAACTGGAAACTTCGGCAGCCTTCTCTCATGATGAAATGTTATGAAGTATGTTTTAAATGTGAAAGGGGGAAGAAAGAGAAATGCAGTGGAAGAAGAGAAATTAAAACAACCCTGTCATTTCACTGCAGTGGCAATTTTGTATGATAATCATTAGAATATTAAAGATGTTCAAGCTAATTCTTGCCAATATTGCTTGGTTTAAGGTATTCCAGGGTGGGTATAATTACTGTTGAAAAGATGGCTTAAAAGTGATTTCATAGACCATTTTATTTCATTCCATAAACCATATTTATGTGATTAGTATGTACGGTTAACTAGTCATTTAGTGTTATAAGTCAGCTTGGCTCAATGAATCTTCTCGGGGCTCAAGCATAATATTAATAAAAAATTCAAATCCAATCCAGAGAAAGTGCTGATCTCAGTATTAAATTCCTGCTGCTACAACCAGCCTTCCTGCAAGTCCCACGTCTGTGAAGACAGAGCAAAACACAGACTGCTCGTGGTCTGCTCTCCGTAGAGTCTAGGGAAGGGGAAAAAAAAAATCTGCATCTGGGGAGATATTTTTAATGAGCATATCCATTCATACAAGTTTCTGATTCAACGTTTTGTGGCTGGGGACTTGTCTTTGGACTGACCGAGGCCTCGTTAAGCCTGAAGTAAGTCTTTATCATTGTGCATCTAGGTAAATGAATGGCTATTAAAAACCAAGTAGTATGAGACAGGTAATTCCCCTATAATGAATCCTTAAGGATATGTTTTTAAATATCCAAAAAAAGTGTCGGGAGCTGGCTGATACCAGCCTACCAAGCTGATATGCCTAAACTCCCAGTCTGCATTCACCTTGGCAACCAGCTACTAACCTTGGAACCTGGTGGTACAGG